AAGTTCATAATCCAAGCATCTGATGTCTTTATAGAAGGAGAGCCGCAGGGATACTGCGTGCGTGCAAGTGGAGGAGAGGCCATGTGAGGACACACTGGGAAGGTAGCCAAGGGAAGAGGCGTAAACCTGCTGACTCTTTGATGATGGACTTTCAGCCCCCAGAACAGTGAGGAAGTGCCTTTCTGCTGTGTAAACTATTCTGTTTTGGAAGTCTGTATGTTAGTCAGCTTCCTGTCACTGTAACAGGTACCTGAGGTAAGTCAACTTACAAAGTGCAAAGGTTTGCTTTGGCACGTTATTGTTGCCATTGCTAATAAATGGCTACAAACTTAGGTGTTTGTCAGAACTGGATTTCTGTTTATTCTTTTCAGCAAATTGGTGTGGTCAGTCTTAATTTGGTTTTTAAGGAGAGAACAAATTTATTGGTAGCGCATTTGGTATAGTTGGGAGAGTTATAGCGAAAACTCAGCTTGAGTAGCGTGACCTACAGTGGGGGCTGCTGCTGAGCTATGGACCTGTCACTATGGGGAGTTCTCTGGTGGGATCCATTCAAGTCACTGTTCCCTGAGTCAAAGTCCAATGCGGATCGGTCTCACTACCTGAGACTCAGCCTTCTGGCTGTGTCTTGGTCATGTGGAGTAGCAGGAAGTCCAAGTCTAAAGTCAAGAGATCAATCACATCTGCTGAGAGTCTTGGTGCTGGTGAGGATTCTGTAGAGTTCCAAGGTGATGCCCAGGGCATTACATGGCTGCATAGAATCCAGAACATGTTAGCTGTTTATATGGGTGTGAACCAGCATCTTACTATGGTCTGATTTTACATTTTCCTCATAACTACTGAGGCTGATCATCTTAAGTGCTTTCCACCCATTCTTGTATCTTCTATGGCAAAGCCTGTGTTTATGATTTTTTTGCCTGCATTTAAATTGGGGTGCTTGAGTTCTGTTTACTAAGTTCTAGGAATTCTTTAAAAATTTAGTTCTATTTCTCTGTCTCTGTCTCTGTCTCTCTCCTTCCCTCCCTCCTCTCTCTGTGTGCATACAGAAGTCAAAACATAGTTTTCAGGAGTCAGTTCACTACTTCTGTAGTGGGTTCCAGGGACAGAATCCGTGTTGTCAGGTTTGTGCTTTCACCCACAGGCATCTCACTGGCTCTAGAAATTCTTTTCACTTACTTATTTTTGGGGGACAGTCTCATGTGGCCCAGGCTGACCTTGAGATCTCTATGTGGCTGAGGATGACCTTGAACTTCTGATCTTTTGTGCGCTGGGATTACTGGCATGAGCCGCCATGCCTGGTTTGTATGTGGTGCTGAGGCAGATAAGCCTTCTACCGACCGAGCTGCATCTCCACCTGTAGGAATTCTCTAAAGACTCTTCAAACCTGTGGGACCTTGTGCGTGTATACTTCCCTCATTTCTAGATGTTTTATAGTTCTCACTTATGCAATTTCTAGCTGCTTTGGCCACCTTGAACTTCTCTTTTGTTCTTCTCAACTTCATGGGATTGCATGGGTCTGTCTGGATCCCGCCTCTGTACTGAGGTCCAGAATCTGTCCCCAGGAAGGGAGCCTGGGTAAGCATAGCTCTCATAGCACTTGTTCCCTTTCTCACAGCAAGAATGGCCTGGTAACCTGTGGATAAGTATGTTTCCATCAGTTTTCTGGTCATTGACAGTAGAAGAGTTCTTTTGGGTCCTGTTCTCCTTGATGGTTGGAACCTTTTTCTCTTCTCTTCTCAATGCTTTTAGAACAACCATGTTCCTTGTATAATTGCAAGTGGAGAGTTCAAGTAGAGGTCAGTAATTGGCTTTGGGATTGGTTAAATCTGCATGCTAATGACATCCAATTACTGGGGTAGTTCTAGCTTTCCACTGTGTTGTGTTTTGGTCTCCAGCTGTTGCTTTTCCTAGTGGCTGCCATTCTTTGAGACATTCCATCTGAACATCTAGCTTCATCCACCACTGACATCTACACTACAGCTGACTTGGGTCCTTACAGTTGGCTTGGCTTCTGCAGATGTGACTTACATCATAGTGCTAGTGTGGGCTTCTCTTAGGAGGTATTTAAGCAAAAGAGGGTAAGAATGAATTAGAGCTGGTGGAGGAAATAGAGCCTCAAGATGACTAGTTCAGCACTTCATCAGTGAGCAACAGATTCAGATACTGGGATGTCGTCACAGTCTGAGATGCATGGAGATAGCCCTGAGACTGTTTTCAACTTTCTTAGCTGTGGAGCCTTCCATACAGCTCCTCATCTGGTGGAGACCCCCAACCATAAAATTATTTTCCTTGTTACCTCCTAACTATAATTTTTCTACTGTTATGAATCATAATGTAAGTATCTGATGTGCAGGGTATCTAATATATGACACCTGTGAAAGGGTCATTTGACCTCCCAAAGGGGTCGTGACTGTTGAGAACCACTGCACTAAGAGATTACTGAGGGTTTTCTCTTTTCTTTTTTCTTTTTTTTTTTTTTTTTGAGACAGGGTTTCTCTGTGGCTTTGGAGCCTATCCTGGAGCTAGCTCTTATAGCCCAGGATGGTCTCAACCTCACAGAGATCCGCCTGCCTCTGCCTCCCGAGTGCTGGGATTAAAGGCATGCACCACCAATGCCTGGCCTCTGAGGGTTTTCTTAAGAGGAGGCACAATGGGCACAGGTCCATGCAGTGTTCCCTTCCCTTCCCTTCCCTTCCCTTCCCTTCCCTTCCCTTCCCTTCCCTTCCCTCTGCTCTTGTCTTTCTCTTCTCCCCCTTGAGACAGTACATATCACGAATACCAGACTGGCCTCAAACTCTGGTTCCTCCTGCCTCTACCTCTTGAGTGCTGGGATGATAGGCATGCACCACTATGCCTGGTTTATTCAGTGCTGAGGCTGGAACTCAGGGCTTCATGCCTGCTAGGTAAGTACTCTACCAGCTGAGCTACACCTCAGCCCCAGTGCAGTATTTTTCTTTTGCCCCTGTAGCTATGATGAACTCTTTTTTTCTTACACATCTTTGAAACACTTAAGCAGGGGGTTGGGGGCCTGGAGGGCTGGGGACTGGGAGGCTGAGGTAGGCAGATGAGGATTTAGCAGATGAGGGTCTAGGAGTTCCAAAATATCTACAGGAACTAGGGGTAGGGCAAACCCTGTGAATTTGACAATAGGGACCTTTGTTTACCTAGGTATTATAACTGTACCCCAACCATAAATACAGTACATGGGAAAATAAAGTCTCTATCAGGTCTCTTGGAGGGAGCTAATCAAAGGCATACCAGTTTCCTAGTGCTGTTTGCAAGAAATCATTGTAAATATAGAGGCTGAAATCATTTATTCTTGTGTAGATAGAGGCTGGATATCTAAGGTTGCTATGTCAACAGGGCTGTGTTCCTTTTGGTAGCTTCAAGCAAGAATCCATTTCCTTCTCATTTCAGCTCCTGGGAGTTTCATTCATTCCTTGGCTTGGAGGCTCATACCACTTAATTTGTTGTTATTATTTTTGGTAATGCTGAATGTATTTATTTGATTGAAAATGATCAGTAGCTACTTTAATTTAGTAATGAAGATTACAGCCTCTGTCTTGACTTGACCTGATCTTTATTTTTATCCTTTCTTGAGTCACTCCAACCTCTAGATTCTGCTGTTACATCTCCTGTTCTCTATTTTGTCTCTCCCCAGTGCCCTTTCGATCACATTGGGCTAACCCAAGTCATCCAGGATAGTTTCCTCACCTCAGAATCCTTAATACAATCACATCTGCAAGATTCCTTTTCTGTTGCAGGTAACACAATTGAAGGTTCCAGGGATTTGTGGATTCCTTTATCCAACCTACCACAGGACCTGGAAGCTTAGCTGATGGAGCCTCTGTCCTCTAAATTTCTCTGGAGAAATATTCTCTGTGAAACTTCTGGAGAGTGGGACAAAAACTTAAGGCAGGGCTTTGGACTAAACCAAAGCCTGTGTGGGACCTGGCATGACAAGGTGAAGCCTGGCAGTGTGGGTTTTGAGGAGCACCCTGCCAGGACCAGGTAGCCATGGGTTTTATTGAGTGTTCCATTTTGCTCTGGACAAGAGAATGCTACAAGGTCCCTGCCACACTGACTGAAAATACACTGAGGTAGGAATACAACAGTACTACTTCCAGATTTGAGCATTGCAGCACACTCCTGTAATACTAGCATTTGGGAGGCGGAGGCAGAAGGACCAAGGTTCGAGGTCATCCGTAGCTACTTAGTAAGTGTAAGGCCAGCCAGGAGTATACAAGGCCCTGTGATAGTATCTCCATTGCGGGCACAAAAAGCATGACCAAAAGCAACTTGGGGGAGAAAGGGTTTATTTCATCTTACAACTCCAAGGTCATACTCCATCACTGTGGGAAGTCACGGCAGAAACTGAAACAGAGGCCATGGAAGAACTCTGCTTACTGACTTGCTCCCAATGGCTTGCTGAGTTTGCTTTGTTATAGCACCCAGGATCACCAGCCCAGTGGTCTGGGCTTTCCCACATCAATCATTAATCAAGAAAATGCTCCACAGGCTTGCCTGTAGGCCACTTATGGGGACATCTTCTCAATTGAGGTTCCTTCTTCTTGGATGACTCTAGTCTATCTATGTCAAGTCGACAAAATAACCACAACATGAAACCAAACCAAATTACTCTCGAACAATATCTACCTCCAGAGGGTGAGTGTGAGGAGAAACTGAGTTAATATATTCAAATTGCTTAAGACATTGCCTGGCACATAATTTGCACTCAGCGTTGGGTCTCCCTGGCTGTTCCATACTGGCAGTCCTCATGTTTCTCCAGGAGCAGTCCCTGGGCCCACAGGAAACAAAGCAACATTGAAAACTCAGCAAACACAGGAAGGATTAGGTGGGCTAGTGGTCTGAGCTTGCAGAGGGCAGTATCCTGACCTTACCTGTCTTTCTCTTTGGCTGCTAGAAGTTTCCATCTGTTTTTACAGAGGGAGAAGAGCCCAAAGCAGAGCCTCTGATTGGCTGCTTTTGTTTCAGTTTCTCATCGAGTTCTGATTTCTGGGAAGGGAAGGGAGCATAAGGCGTTTAGCTAAAACAGAAATGTTTGGAAAGGAGATGTGGAGTCAGAGAAGAAAAGAGAGGGACCAAGGTAGGAGAAGAGAGTCTTTTAATTGTCTGGGATTCTTTGTAATGTCCTGGAGGTGGAGGGCAGTGGAGCTTGGGACCGACTGTGCAAACACTAAGCTGGAAGACTGCTGACGAAGAGCATGTTCCGCTTAAGAAACTGCACACAGTCAGACCTTTCAATTGTTGTTCCTCGTGGGGTCTACTGAAGTGACCCCCGGGGAGGCATTTCTCTGAGTGGCAGCCTCCACTCACTCCCAATCCTCAGGTAGGTGGCAGGACCTGTAGAACCCCACTCCCTTTAGTGCTGTGTGAGGCCCCTTCCATCCTCAGAGTCCATTCTTCTCCTGTGTTGTTGAGGCCTGGAGTGGTATCATCTGCTTCTGCTGCTCCTGCTGTAGTTGTCCCTGCTTTCCTCTGCTCCTGGGGGAAGGAAAGCAGACATCTGGTTTGCAGCCTCATGTCCAGGTCTGAGATGGTGCAGACTCTCCCCTCAGTCTGTGACTAGCCACCTGCTATCTGCCCCAAATGGCAACCGCTCCTTCCTGGAGCTGAGAGGCCCAAGAAGGATTTTGGTAGAATCTTCTACTCGGGGACAAAGGGACAAAGGGACAAAGGGACAAAGGGACAAAATGCTGATCTGGAAGAAGAGTCCTGGGTTTGAGCCTCAGTGCCACCCCAGTCTGAGTGGGGGACTTTGATTAAGTCACTGATCCTCTCTGGGGGTGTGCCCACCTGTTCTTCAGGTCCTGCACAGTATCCGGCAGTGGCTGGCCCAAGGTCTCTGGCAGGAGGGCAGTGACAGCGCTGGCGGCCACAGGGACAGCGCCGAAGATGAAGAGAGGCATGGAGGGGTAGAACTCGGCGGTCATGCTCACCAGCGGGCTCACGATGCTGCCCACCCGGGCCATGGTGCTGCCCATGCCCAGGCCTGTCTGCCTGTGGTCAGGTGAGTGTTGGTTAGAGCTCTGGTGTGGGTACCGGTGGCCACATTGGGAGCAGGACAGTTCTGCCAGCCCTGGACATCTTTGCGACTCCTCTTTCCTACTTGATTAGCAAATGAGTTCCTATTTTTGTGTTTTGCTGTTGGTTGTGCTGGATATTGAAGCCAGGACCTTGCACAGGCCAGGCAGACACTTCACTACTGACCTGCATCCCCAGGCCATTGTGGTGACTTTTACAACAAAAAAAGAAATTGAGAAGGGCTGTGGTCAGAGAACCGGGGGACTTGAAACTGAGTTCTGCCTGTCCTTAAGCTGCTGTGTGACCTTCAGCCAATCTCTTTGCATCTCTGGGTTTCCAGGTGTCACATGAGTCCACTGGGTAAGACCAGTGATTCTTAGGTTGCCATCATCTGGAATGTCTTTGTTTTCCTCTTCTTTTTCTGGCTGTGCTAGGGATGGAACTCAGGACCTCACACCCACAAGACAGCTGCCCTGCCCCCTAAGCACACCTGCATAACTTACGGATCCTAGTTGTCTCCATCTCACAGAGACCTACTTGTTAGGGTCCCCAGGGGAAGGGATCTGGAAGCAGATCTGGAAGCTGCATTTTGCTTGTGTGTTAAGAACATTTGTTCTCCATGAGGGGCTGGAGAGATGGCTCAGCAGCTAAGAGCACCGGCTGCTCTGGTAAGGATCCGGGCTCAGTTCTCAGCACCCACATGGCAGCTTATAACCATCTATCTGTAACTCCAGTTGCCCCGAATCTGATGTCCTCTTCTGGGCTCTGTGAGCACTAGGAATGCACATGGCATGTATACATACATTTGAGTAAAACATTCATACATGAGATAAGAATAAATGAATCCAGCTAAGCAAGAACATTCTCTATGAGAGAAGTTAAAAACATTGACTCAGAAGGCAACTGCACTGGGGTTCAGTGCTGGCTGTGTGACCCTGCAGAAGCCAGCTCCTTCTGTTTTCACAATTGTAAAAGGAGAATGATAGTGCCTACCTTGGCCTCTTATGAGAAATAAGTGAGTTAATATTTGTGGAAAGGTTAAGAAAGTGCTTGGTACACAGTACTTGCTTCACCCGAGTGCTTGGTACACCGTACCCACTTTGCCTGGAAACCTGTAAAGGCATGGGATAGCACCCAAAATGTCTCAAGGTTGCCATCACAGCACCATGACCTCACTGGTCTTTGACATTTCATGTGATGTTTGCATTCGAATCTTAAAGAAGACATACATACTATTTTATTTCTTAATGCCTTTTCCATCTCGCTGTATAGTGGTGCTGAGTTTATTCATATGGCTGGCATATTGTCAGGAGTGGTTCTTGTGGGAAGCTGCCTGCATGTTTGTGTCTTTGGTTTCAGACATACTGGTTGGTTTAAGATGGAGTTTAGATATGGTCACAGCTTGGAACTTGTGTTCAGTTCATTGCCTCTGAGATGTGTCTTTCTACCCTGTTCTAGTTAGTGATCCTTCTAGATCTCCTCTAGGTTTAAGTGAGGGCTGAACAGCCACATCTCTGTCAGCCAGGCCCTGATATGTGTGATTGAATGGTTCCTATATATCCTGCCCTGATTAATGTTTTTTTTTTTCTTTTTCTCTCTTTTTTTGAGGGGAGGCTTTTTGTGCTGGGCTATGGTCTGGGGTTCTGACTTTAGAGTGAGCAGGGGACTGTCTTCCCTAAACCGCCCCCTGCCCCACTCCAAGCCCTGGGCTCTCACTCACCGGATCACTGTGGGGTACAGCTCTCCAGTGTACAGGAAGATACAGTTGAAAGAGGAAGCCAGGCAGCCTTTCCCTAGCACAGCCAGGGAGGTGCGTATGATTGTCTGGTCTAGAGAGAAAGGAACGGGGAGAGTGGAAACAGGGATTGAGGGTGGGGGTACCGGCTTCTTTTCTTTGAGAAATTGGCTTATGTCTGAAGGGGTAGGGTGGGTGGGACTGAGAGCCAAGATGCTGGTAGGTGCTCACCCTTTGGTATTACCCCATTCACCAGGATGCAGATGCCTGCCAGCAGCAGGGAGGCCAACTGTGCAGGCCGGCGGCCCAGGGAGTTGATGACGAGGAAGCATACGAACTTGGCTGGTAGGTCCACAGCACCGAAGATCACCTGGATAAGGTACATGCTGACCCCAAAGCCTTGCAGGTCCATGACCAGCCCGTAGTAGGCAAAGCTCGTGGCAAACATTGTGAGGAGGAAGAGGGGTGTGGGGCTGGTTAGACAGGCTTAAACAAGTGTATTCTTTCATAAATCCGGTGATGCATGGGGGTAACCTGCTTTGGGACCTAGGATCTGCTTTGGCTATTGCTTCTTTAGACACTTAACAACTGCATATTCAAACTGTACAGCTTAAGTATTGGAGCAGTCCTTCAGTTCTGTGCTAACTAGACCCCAAGGAACTGGGGAACTTACACTTAGTTGCTAAGTAGCGTTTATACACTTTCAGTCTTTATCTTATCTGTTGGACTGAGGTTACTACATAAGTCACATCAAGGTGTTGGTAATGGCTGGAATTGTCTGGGACTTATCTGTATTTCTGGGATGAATGTTTAGGGGTTCACAAAGTTTAGGTTTGGGGGTAGAACCCTTTACAGAGAGTAACCCAAAATCGCCAGCAAAAAATTCTTTGGCAAGATTGTTGTTCTGGCCACACCCCACTTAACTGTCATGGATTGCCATGTTGATGCTTATGAGAGAGATAATGGGAACACTGCACAGTGGTTATATCATCTTTGACCCAAGTGAGTTTTGGGGGACAAGTGTGAGTCCTGTTATGCCTGTGCTAGTTTCCCTCGAGGCACCATCAGAGCAGAGAAGTCACCGAATGTTTTTCAAAGCACGCTGGTCTGTCCTCACAGCATAAATCTGTGGGCTCTGGAGACCATTGGTCCTGATGAGGTGATTGATACAGGCACAGGGCTGGTGAGAGAAGCTGGGAGACGAGTTTGAGCATGGGGACCGGTTGTCCTGGGAGACTCTTGTCTCTTTAGTGCTCTCTCTACTCCTCGTAGCAGATCTGCTGACCTTCCCTTCCCCTCACCTGCTGTTCCCACCCGTGGCATCCATGCCCCCCACCCCCCACAGCCTGCTTTTTGTCCTTTGATTAGCCTGCTTGTCTGTCTGAGCCTACCACAGCATGGAGAGGCAGAGGAAGAGGCGGCGAAGGGTGGGGCAGCGTAGCAGCTCCATGGCCGAGGCCTGGCCTTTGCCTAGCATCAGTTCCTTCTGCAGGCTGGTCCGGAGCACCTGATGGGATGGGCATGACTCAGGGCCTGAGCTCCTCCGAGGGGACACCCTTGGTCCAGCCTGAGTCCTGGGTCTGGGTCCTGGTATCTGTCTGGAGCTCAGGCAGCATCTAAGGACAAAGGTATCTCACCTCTATACTCAGCTTAGCCCCCTCTTCATGTTTCCCATTGATCCTGGCCACTCTCTGCAGGGCTTGGAGGGTGAGGTCAAGCCTTCCTGAGGAGGAGTACCAGCGGGCTGACTCAATGAAGAACCTGGGAGTGGAGATGGAGAGAGGGCAGATGTTGGCATGGTCTCAGTTTCAGTCTTCTGGTTAGAGGTATCCAGTGGAGTTTTATTTAAGTTTTGGGCACCAGGGCCTTTGCTAAGACCCTCTTAATGATCAGCAAGCAGTGGGCAGTTTGATAATCACTCATCCCCAGAACTTAGCTCTTGGGTGCTGGGTAGGGAAGAGGAGTGTCACAGTCAAACTGTGGGGGTGCCAGAGACCTGCCTTCCCCCTCCAGGACAAAACCTACCCCTACAGCCTTGGCTTTAGAATCTGTTCAACAGAAGCATTGGATTGGGGTCAGCTTTCTGTCTTGGATAAATTTTCTGGGGAAGTTTGTGCCCAGCTCCGGGAGATGGCCTGTCCCTTGTAGCCATTCTGGGTCATTGCTTCCCACCCCAGATCCCACGTACCAGGAGTAGACGAAGGCAACGAAAAAAGGCACCGAGACCAGAAGCTGCAGGTGGCGCCAGTGGGGCACAGCATAGGCCACACCAGCCAGGATGAACTGGCCCACGCTGTAGACGTAGCCAATCAAGGTGCCCACATAGGCACGGGTGTGGATGGGCATCCACTCCACATCTGGAAAGGGTGAGAGTGGTGCAAGTAACTGGGCTGCTAGGCAGAAAGAGACTCCTCTTTTGCTTCCTCCCAATCAGTTTCTCCCCCCCCCAAAACAAAACAAAACAAAACAAAAAAAACGTGCGGCTGGGTGAGGCTGGGTGCCAGGGCAGGGAGAGTGGGGACATTAAATGGAAGTAGGATCCCCAAGAACTGCCTTCTCCATGCTCCTGCTGCTTTTTGGCTTTGCCCCCAAAGTCTGACTACATCCCTGCAGAGTTACTCTGACCACTCAGTCTGTTCTCAGCAGAAAATCACTTCCCTTCTGCTCAGTCTTGGGCTAGATTCACACTCAGTGGTCAGAGCACTATGTTTATTCATCCTGGAACACCAGTCCAGGCAAAAAGGGGACCACTGCTCTGTTAAGGTCTCCAGAGGTTGGGCTAGGCTCCTTGTGGGATACACTTGAATATGCATATTTACTTTGGAGCTGGAGCCTTAGGCTTGTCTCAGCTCAATCTCACACCTAACTAGTTCCTTTTGTCTTAGAGAGCTGTGAATCCCTGGATTTCTTTCTGGACTTGAGAGATGACTTCAGGTAAATTTGTTTTCTTCTCTCCAGCCTCACCATGAACACACTATTCTCAGTCACTAAGTGTGTTTGGTGCATATGATGCTGGCTTATCCTTGTTTATAAATATTAGACTAGCCACAATATTAAATTAATTATGATATTTTATATTAATTTTTAAAAAGTGAGTGAGATCTGGGTGTGGTGGTGTATGCTTGTAATTCCAACACTTGGGAGGGGAAGCTGAGTGTCATGAGTTGGAGGCTACAGGTTAAGACCATGAATCAGAACAAAACAAATAAATGACACCAACAAAAATGGAGTGAGATCTCCATGACTTCTTGGCTGGGAGTGCCTTTGGTATCTCTAGATAGGAGGTTTACTTTAAAACAATTACATTTATCCTCTCTCTCTCTTTCTCTCTCTCTCCCCAACTCCCTCCCTCCCTCCCTCTCTCCTTCTCTTTCCTCCCTTTCTGTGCTTATGCCATGGCAGGTGTGTGAGAGTCAGAGGACAACTAGTTTGCAACAGTTGGTCCTGGGGGATCAACTCAGGCCATCAGACTTGGTGGCAAGTGTCGTTATCCACTGAGACATTTTGCCACCCCCACATTCTTTGCTATTTAGCCCAGACTGGCCTGGAACTCCTTATATAGATCCATCTGACTTCACACTTGGGACAGTCATCCCTCCTCTGCTTCCTGAGCACTGGGATTGTGGGCACATGGCACCATGCTTGGATGGTCTCACTAGCCTTTGGATCTCCTTTGGATACAGTCTTCACCATTCCTAAGATCTCCTGTACCTGGCTTGTCTTGGTCACTTTGACCATGAGTCTGCAATCTTACTATGGTGTGAGCTGGGGAAGGCAGGGTGGTGTTGACTGGAAATGCAGATCTAAGGGAGGTATTGGGTTGAGAGCAGGGGGTTCAGGAGGGGAGAGGTGAGGGAGGAGGTTGGCAAGACTGGGTGGTGAGAAGGGACATAGGTGAGCAGTCCTCACTTAGTGTCATGCAGTTGATTGCAATGCTAGCCAAAGACATGCCCGAGAGGAGCCGGAAAATACAGTAGACGGTATAGTTGGGTGCATAGGCCGCACAGGTTCCTGACACAGCTGTCTGTAGGTAGTTCAAGATCAGCACCTACAGATGACCCAGCCTGTGGGGGAGGGAAGACTTGTGGTCAGGGGCTGCTGGGGGGGGGGCAGCAGGCTGAGTTACACAGAAGAGTCAGGGGCTGCTGGGTGGGGGGCAGCAGGCTGAGTTACACAGAAGAGTAGCTGCCTTGGGTGAGGCCCTGGGCTTCAGTCTTCTGAGGATCTAGGAAGAATCTTGAGTCTTGCACTTAAACCAGCCACCCCTGCCTTGAATCCAGCCAGGAGCCCCCAATCCCAGTTTAGCCCAGCTCTTTGGCTTACCCAGGACTGACCTGTCTGCCAGGTAGCCAAACACCATGGCTCCCAGCAGCACTCCCACCATGTACAGGGACTGGGCCAGCTGGCGGAAGGCCCGGTGAGAGCACACGAGGTTCCACTGTGGGGAGAGGTAAGCTAGAGTTGGGCAGAGAAGAGCCCAGATGCAAGGAAGCCCCTCAACCTCTTCTAGGAAGGTCCTCTGGGGCTCATGTTGCCCTCTTTCTGTCTTACTGTCCTCTGCTGTTTGTCTCTCTGTTCCTGGGTACTAAGCACACTTAAAACACTCAGCAGCTTCTACACCCTGTGTGTGTGTGTGTGTGTGTGTGTGTGTGTGTGTGTGTGTGTGTGTGTCTGTCTGTCTGTCTGTCCGTCCGTCCGTCCGCCTGTCTGTCTGTCTGTCTGTCTGAGAGGAGAAGTGGTGTCACATGGAGAGGAAGCCCCAAATTCTTACCTCAGTTACGATGGTTGAAGGAAAGGTGCTGTTGTCATAGACCCAGCCATCAATGCAGGGCTCTGTGACTCCAGTGTCATTGACCTCTGTGCCGTTGTGAAAGGGTGGTACCCACTGTGGGGAAGTAAAACGGAGGCAAGACTCGGGTCGCCCCTGCTTGTCCAGAGGCAGCCAGGCCTCCAGACCTCCATCTTTGCTGAGGTTGGCACTGGCAGGCGGGGGGCAGTGGTGAGCAGGTATGGCAGCGGTGAAGTTCTGCAAGGTGTTGTGGGAAGCCATCAGCAGTAGGGGGACAACCACCAAGGTGACCTGGATTAGCTGGAAGCGGCCAGCACCCCCCACCTGCTTCAGGAGGTCATTGAAGGCCATGGGGCTGGGCCAGGCTCAGTGGTCAGGGACTGAAGACCTCCAGTTCTAGGACTTCTGTCTGTCTGCGGCCGCCCTTGGCCTGAGGAGTGGGGCTGTTGCTGCCTTTGCAGCTGAGTGGCTCCTGGAGCTGGAAGTGAGCCGGCTCTGTGGCGGGACAGCAGGCTGGTGGACCGCCCCCTCCTTTCTCTCTCCCCTGGTTCTGGCCCTCCCTTGCCCTCTCCTCTTTTCTTCACTTCGGGGGTCTGGACAGCTCAGCTTTCAGGGTCTGCTGGAGCTCTGACTCTGATGTAGGCAGCTTTTAATCTTTGGCCTGAAGATAATGAGTTAAAGAGTGACTTGGTTGGTGTCAGGAGGATTAACCCTGTGAGTATTCCTTATGTCAGTGGAATTTCTCCAAGAAGGTATAAAGGGCAGGAGGGGATGGTTGAGACCAAGAGTGGATTCACTGGGGGCTGCTGTCTGGGCATCTGGATGCAGAGAGGGGGACAAGGTGGGACCTTCTGTCTTCCCTCTGTTGAGGAGTCTGAGCTCTGGGAAATGTGGTTTCTGTGGACACCATAGTCTGTTTTCGGGAATAATACCAGAGACAATATGGCAAGTCCGATTGAACCTGGACTTCAGTATAGTCCTAATACTGCACAGACCATGTTTATATCCAGAATTATGTGTTGATTTGAAATTTAGATCTGACTGGGAATCTTATATTCTTATTTGCTAAGTTGAGTAACCCTGATCTTTGGTCTTTCAAGAGCTTACCTCTTGCTGGACCACAGCTTTGTGCAACTGGAAAAAACAACAATAGTCAGAGGTTGCTCTTGAAGCCTCAGGGACCAAAGGCAAAATCAGACATAATGGGGGACCACTCTTCCGGGGTCTCGGTTTTTACCTTTTTGATTTATTCTTTTTTATTTGTTTTTAAAGACAGGGTCTCATGTAGCTCAGGGTGGCCTCCAGGTCAATAGGTAGCCAAGGCTGGTCTTGAATGACTCCTCTGGCTCCATCTCCTAAGTGCTGGGATTTCAAATGTATACCATCACACTGTTTACCTTATTTATTTTTTTTCTGAGACAGGGTTTCTCTGTGTAGCCTTAGCTTGGAATTTGCTCTGTAGATCAGGCTGGCCTCGAACTCAGAGATCCACCTGCCTGTGCCTCCTGAGTGCTGGGATTAAAGGTGTGCACCATCACTGCCCACCTACATTAAAATTTCTATCTATCTATCTATCTATCTATCTATCTATCTATCTATCTATCTATCATCTATTATTTATTTGTGTGTGTGTGTGTGTGTGTGTGTGTGCCATGACTTGTGCCAGGAGAGCTGAGGACATCTTGTAGAAGTGGGTCCTCTCCTTCCATCATGTGGGCTTTGGGGATTGAACTCAGGTCATCAGGCTTAGGCAGCAAGTGCCTTTACCTGCCAAGCTATGTCACTGGCCCCTGTTTCCTTCTTTGTTTTGATTCAAATTTTCCCTTTGCTGTGTTTTTAATTTCTAAAAAATATCTTACTTTATTTCATACAAATGGGTGTTTTGCCTGCCTGTATATCTGTGCACCATATTCATGCCTGATACCCAGAGAGAGTGGCAGATCCGTTGGAACTGGCATTACAGACAGTTGTGAGCCACTATGTAGGTGCTGGAAATTGAACTAGGGACCTATGCAAGAGCAGACAGTGCTCTTAACCACTAAGCTACCTCTTTATCCCCCCCTCTTCTTTTTTTTTTAAACAATAAGCATGAACCTAAATTATTTTTGGCCACAAGTCTGGGACCTGACTTGAATTCTTCCAATAGTTTTGGCTCCTGAGCCTTGGTTATTCACAATCAGAGGCAGTGTTAAACACTAACTGAATGTTTCCGCTGTCTGATTGGTTGGATCACAGACTGGGGAAGCTGAGAGCAGGTTGCTACTCTATGGCTTTGATTTACAAGGTGCATCTGGTGTAAAACATTGAACTCCGGAGTCAGTCCTCTTGCCATATTCTCAGGCTGTGTGAACAGGAGCAGGTTATTAACTCCTGTGTACCTCAGTGCCCTTGCTTTCAAGACAGGGCTGGTTTTCATGTCCAATGTATTTTGTTCCAGAGTCAGTCCTCTTGCCATATTCTCAGGCTGTGTGACCAGGAGCAGGTTATTAACTCCTGTGTACCCTTGCTTTCAAGACAGGGCTGGTTTTCATGTCCAATGTATTTTGTTCCCAGAGGGTTAAATGAGCCTTTGTATAAGTATGGTTTGTGCCTGTAGCCCCAGTTCCTGAGTTCAGGAGTTCAAAATCAGCTTGGGTAGGAGGACGGTAGCTCAAGCTAAGTCTTGGCTACATAGTGAGTTTGATGGCATAGTGAGTTTGATGGCATAGTGAGTTTGATGATTATAGGCCTGGACTACATGAGACCTTTCTTTCTTTCTTTCTTTCTTTCTTTCTTTCTTTCTTTCTTTTTGTTTGTTTTCTCAAGATGGGGCTTCTCTGTGTAGCCCTGGCTGTTCTGGCCTCCAACTCCAAGAGATCCCTCTGCCTCTGCCTTCTGAATGCTGGGATTAAAGGCGTGAGTCACCAACCACCTGGCTATGAGACTGTTTTAAAGAACTTCTCACCAGATACTATGCTTATGCAGACTGCACTTTTCTACAATAAATTGGAAGGGATTTTATTGTCTACTTAGGTCCTCAGGCACATGAGGGATTAGACTAGGGTCTTAACTTCAAAGCTAGTTCCCTCCTCCTTCTCTAATAGGGTCTCATTATGTGCCAGGCTGGTTTCAAACTCTAGGTTCTCCGATCTCAGCCTCCCAAGTGCTGGGATTATAGGCCTGGAGTCACTGTGTGTGGCTAAAAGCTGAACCCTTAACTGTGGCTCTAGAGGTGTTCACTGCCAGGCTAAAGGGGTTTTGGAGATGAGCTAACTTTGTACATAGAGAAGCCTAGAGGAGGTTGTAATTCATCCCAGCCTCCCCCTCCTAGCATGTGTTGATTCTAGCTTGGGCTCCCTGGGTGTCCAGATGCCTGATACATTCTCTAGGCCAAGGTATATAAGAACCTGTGGCCTGGGGAGGCTAGGACAGCTGGACAAACAGCTTAGAGGCTGTGAGGTCAGTTTCCTGCCAAGACTTAGTACTCTTGTAGGGAAGTAGGTGGAGTGCTGAGGGTAGTGGGGTGACCTCCTGCAAGCACCCTCCCTTTCCATACTTGTGCCGAATCCTGCTCTGGATAAGAACTTCTTTATGAGCTCCTGTCTTAGTTAGGGTTACTATTGCTGTGATGGACTCCATGACCTAAGCAACTTAGGGAGGAAAGGACCGATTTGCTTTACACTCCCACATCATAGTCCACCATTGAAGGTAATCAGGGCAGAAATTCAAACAGGGCAGGAACCTGGAATCAGGGGTGATGCAGAGGCCATGGAGGGGTGATGCTTGCTAGCTTGCACCCCATTACTTGCTCATTACTACCTTCTGCTTTCTTATAGCATCCAGAACCACCAGTCCAGGGGTGGCACCACCAACAGTGGTCTGGGTCCTCATCCATCAATCAGTAACCAAGAAAATGCCCTATAGGCTTGTCTCTGACTCCATCTTATGGAGGCATTTTCTTAATAGAGCTTCCCTCCTCTCTGATGAGCATAGCTTATGTCAAGTTGACATAAACTAGCCAGCACAGCTCCCAACCAGCCCCAAGTCTGGCTCAACCTATAAAAGCCTCCACTGGGGCTCTAGGAACGGAACTGTGGCAAGATCCCAAGATTTTCAGATCTGGGGACTGTCCCTTGTTAACCTCGTGGGTCATTAAAAATTTAGGGTGGGATGCCTCTGTGCTAAATGGATCATTGACTTAAATTCTGGTCAGGTTCAGGCAGCTTTGGGGGATCTTGCAGAAACTCACTTCTCTTCTCAGAACCACATACCACTAGAGCCAAGAGCCGTTACTCAACTGGGGGGGCGGCGTAAAGAGACCGAGGTAAGACAGGAACCAGTGTTGCTCACGATCACACTGCAAGCCTCGAACACGGCTCTTTTGGCTCCTTTGTTCTCTCTTCTGTGTGAGTTGCTGTCACATAGGTTAGATTTTCTGGGATAAGTGCTGTCTTGGTGTAACTATAGTCTGTTAAGTCAATGGGATTCAAAGTGTGGGGCTACATGTGATTTTTATTACTTTGTGACACCTTTCAAATAAATAATTTACAGATCAAAGAAGACACTTTGGCTCAGATCATGTTCTGGAAGCATGGGGTTGAAGTGACCCGGAGAGTTCAGAAGACTCCAGCTGCCTGCCAGCATCTGAGCCGGAAATTTCAGAACCAGACTGAGCCTGTGCCTTGTTCCTGGCTACCCCAACCAGCAGGCAGTATAAGCCCATCCGAAACCACTGTTTAAAAGCCAGACGTGAGCTGTGGATATAGCTCATTGATAAAGTACCTACCTAGCACGCAGGAAGCTCTGAATTTGATTCCTAGAATCACATAACACGAGGCCTGGTGACACACAACTAACCCTAGCACTAAGGAGGTGGAAGCTGGAGATCAGAAGTTCAAGGTCATCCTCAGTCCATCAGAGGCCAAACTGGGCTACACGAGACCCCGTCTCAATAAAACAGCAAGACCTCACAAACTAGATATGAGATCATTCACCCCTGAGGTGACCCAGAAAGTGCTCTATATGGGGTGGCAATTCACTGAGCTAGTTGTTGTCTCTGCTCGGGGACAGACAGAAGGGAACAGACAGGGAGGGCAGAGGAACAGCAGCGACGGAGAGATGGAGGAATGGAGTTTGGTGTTTCACTGTGAATCTTAACCCAAGTACGGAAGGAACTTTTCAGGCATCTTTCTTTCCCTCACTATGTGTCTGTAAGAAACACTCTGGAACAGTGCAGAAATGGTCATGGTTAGTACATTCCAGGAGCCACCCTGAATTCTGAAAGTCTGTAAGAAACACTCTGGAACACTGCAGAAATGGTCATGGTTAGTACATTCCAGGAGCCACCCTGAATTCTGAGTCACGGGGATAAGATGGGGAGAAGGTGGAGGCCAGCGATTCACACTGAGCCCAGTTCTTCTCTGTCTGGTGGAGACCCAGTTCAACCAAGGGGAGGCATTGCTTTTCTTAGGCCCTAAGGTTGGAACTCCACCAGTAGACAGCAAGTTCTAAGAGGGAGCCTGATAGCTTCACTGTAAAAGTCAGGTCTCCACGGACAGTGTATGAGCCCCAAATTACCTAAAGGTTGGCAAAGAAGACTCCTGCATCCAAACTAAGTGTACATGGCAGTTTCCCATGAGGCTGGATGGCAGGGGGTCTGGGAAGGGTAACAGAGGGATCCTTCTGCCCTTTTGCTTCCTCTCCTCCTTTGCCTTCTTTCTCAGAGTTACTTCTCCACTTCCCATTTTCTTGACTATCCTATCCAATAAATCGCTTTACATCAGATCCTTGCCTTGGGGTCTGCTTCTGGGGAAATCTACACCAAGATGTAACTGAGACCACAGTTCATTGAATAATCAGTAGGGTATCTAACACAGGCTTTAGAGTTTCTGAAGTCCTTTGGGAGAAAGTTGCACAAGTTGAGACCCCCGCCCCCAGAGGAGTTATGAGTAAGCCAAATGCAGTGGGAGTCAGACAGGTAAAATTCAAGTGCTGAGTGAAGGGCGGGGGCAGTTTATGAGCAGAAACAAACGGAGTGAGGCTGGATTTCAGCCTATAATGGAGTGCTAAGAACAAATTGCTGAGGCAGGTTGGGGCCTGATTCTGCTGGGTCTTGTAAGGGGGTTGCAGTTTTATCCCCGTGAGAAATCACTGAAAGGTGGAGGCAGGGTGCAATATAATCCTTTTCATGTTTATTAAGCACCCTCTCAAACCTCTAAATACATACTTGAGAGTGGTCATTAGCCCAGTGGTTGATAATGGGAATTCATAGAGTGTGTTAGCTTGTCCTATATGGTCACCAAGTGCTCTGCTGAGCACTTGAAAGGAGGTGATCCAAGCTGAGTGTCCTGGTTCTTTTTTTTTTTTTTTTTTTTTTTTTTTTTTTTTTTTTTTTGTTAACTTAACACAAGTTAGGAGGAGGAAGGACTCTTAATTGGGAAAAAGCCTCCATAAGACTGGCCTGTAGATAAACTTGTGGGGGTATTTTCTTGATTAATGATTGATCACAAACTAGATATGAGACCACCGTGGGGCCACTTCTGGGCTGGTGGTCCTGGGTTCTATAAGAAAGCAGGCTGAGAAAGCCAGAAGGAGCAAGCTAATAAGCAACGTTCCTCCATAGCCTCTGCTTCAGTTTCTGCATTGAGTTCTTGTCCTGACTTCCCACAGTGATGGAGTGTGAACTGAACGTTGTAAGATGAAATAAACCCTAACCTGAGTTTCTTTTGGTCATGGCATTTTACCATAGCAATAGAAGCCCTAACAAAGGCAGTCTCCTATAGGGTTCTGGAGCTATTTGATTAGCCGGTCTTGGGACTACAAACCCTTGGAGAAGGGTGAAGTGTTTTGTATCTTGATGTTCTACCTTAGCTCTGAAGCAACAGTGCCTAGTGAGGATGGATCAAACCTCAAGCTGAGAGACCACATAAAATCTTCCTCTTAAGGTATTTTGTCATGGTGATAGAGAGCTGACTAATACAGATCTCTTCTCGGGAAATGGATTAGTGCCTGGTGAAATCACTGGAGGGGACCAGCTTTGTGGAGACACCGTAAGAAGATTCTCACCAGACACTGAACACCAATACCTTGACCTTGGTTGGACTTCCCAGCCTCCAGAACTAAGAGCAATGCATTTCTATTGTTTAGGCAATCCAGCCTGTGGTAGTCTGTTATAGCTGCACAGACAGACTAGGATACATGTATGTGTTCACAGCAGCCCAGCTTGCATGCAGCCGAGTGCCCACATCTGTATGTCCAGGCAGTATAGATGGACATGTGTGTGACCACACATGGTGGCCAGCCCTCTTTCTGAAGCATAATGGCCTGAGTTCTTCATTTTGGTTTATTGAAATTTCTTACCAAGGAAAGAAAGATCTGCTAGGGGAATCTCAAGGGAAATGGGGGTGGGGCAATGGAGGAAGGTGGCCAATATAGAAAGGGTAGGTAGAAGAATGCCAGGGCCTGGGCTGCAGAGAGGATGAGTGCAGAGGTGAGTATTGGAAGCCTTATGGCCAGAGCTTTGAACAGGTGAGGTCTGGGTTGTGATCTATGGTGGAGGTGGTGATGGTGGAGATACCTTTACTGAACTCTCAGAAGTTTTTGTTCTAAGAGCGTGGGCCCACCCAGGGTCTCCCCCAGTCTCCAAGGTGCTCAAGGAGCCCTGAAAGGGAACTGCTTGGGATTGGTCTCTGGAGGGCAGGGAAGGTGATTCTGTTGTTCTCAGCTGGGGTCCAATCCTCCAGTCTTCAGAGGGATTGTCTGAAGTGACTTTTCTGCTTCTGGCTCCTGCTTTGATTTCTTGACTTGCTGGTGCCTAGGGACATAGAGTTTAGGAAAAGAATGGAGCTCTGGCCTGTTTGCTCAATGAGGAGTCCCGGAGGCCAGAGGCAGGGAACTAACTCACCAGTCTTCTAAGTCCTCGATAGTCTCTGGCAAGGGCCGGTTGAGGGTCTCAAGTAGAAAGAAGGCGGCACTGCCTCCCAGTATGGCCGTGGTCCCAAAGATGACATTAGGGATGTAGGGTTGCACCTCACCCGTGATTTTCACCAGTGGAGCTATCATACTTCCCACTCGAGCCCACGAGTTACTAATACCCATACCTGTTTGCCTGGGAGGGTTCAGAGAAGGGATTGGCAGCCTGTGCAGAGGGCTTTTAAAGGACAGCCCTGGGACCCTTGGGTAGAGGGCAGAAGGAGAATGCTACAGTTCCACGAGTTAGCCCCTGACCCAGGTCATCACCAACCTGACAACTGTGGGGTAGAGTTCACTTGTGTAGAGGAAGAGGCAGCTGAAGGAACCAGATAGGCATCCTTTCCCAAATACAGCCAGTGCTGTTCTCATGAGCGGCATTTCTGCATGGGAAGGGGTTGGAGGATGGGCCTCAGAGTTCATGAGCACCTGAATGTTCTCGCTCAGTAGCAGACTTTGTCTCTCTTAGTGCTTGATTGCCCAGAAGCTCATATGAAAAAGGGCAGGTGAGAAATAATCCATTTGCTACTCCTAATGTTTTGTTGAGTTGGCCAATTGGATTGTTTTCTAGAAAAGTAACCTGAGCCCCACAAAAAATAGGGATCTGTTTAAAGCCAACACAGTGAATTGAAGGAGAGCTAACAAAGCTGGAATTCACTTTCCAGCTTGTGGTAGCATCTTCCAGAGAGTCCTAGGGTGTCCTCAACCCCTCACCTGAAGGCACCAAGTTGATTCCCAAGATGGCCCCTCCTGCCAGGAGCAGGAGGAAGCCTTGGGTGATGCGCCGGCCCAGATAACTTATGGAGACGATTGTGATGAACTTGGCTGGGATGTCGACCCCACCAAAGATGATCTGGAGTATGTAGATGTTGACTCCAAATTCTTCTACCCCCATAGCCAAACTGTAGTAGGCAAAACCAGTAGAAAACCTGACAGACAGATAGGCATTGGTCAGCACTTGCAGACAAACTGAGATCTCTTCCCATAGTTTCCCTTGGGTTACCAGGGTGATAAATAGTTTTGTTTACTGTGTCAGCTATAGCTAATTGATATAGGCTGCTTGAGTACAGTTGAGTTTGCAAGACTGTGTCTGAGCTCAATGAAAAGTGCCGGGATTGACTGGTCATGTCTTGCATGGTCATGGTCTATGGCATTCATGGCAAAGGTGCCCAAGATTGGCTCCATAGACTAACAGAGACCAGAGGAGGCAGGAAATGATGTTTTTGTTCAGTAGAAGTGGAACATTCAGAGAGGCAGAGGTGAAACTCAAGCTGTGAACAGTGTGAACATAATTCCTCCTCCTCTCTCAGAATTATGGCAAAATGTGGGACAAACTTGATCCTGGGGAAGACTAGGATGGAAAATGGTCTCACAACCAGGTCACAAAAGGTGTGTGGGGAAGATGTAGGATCAGTCAGAAAAGGAAACTTGGCAGATACATAATTGCTTCCTGCAAGTCTGCAGCCTGCAGGGTTAGCTCTGCTCTGTGTGGTTCCAGAGGACAGAGCTAAGCTAGAAGGCTTCAGGCAGAGAGATGCAGATGTGGGGAAAGTTCTGTCACCAGGATGTGCGCTGACGGGTCTAGAGCACCTGCCCTGTGTGGCGCAGTGTGACCTCAGAGGGAAGTAGACACTCTCAGCTGAATATGGGACTTCAGGGAAGGAAGCTTGACTTGGTAGCTACCAGTAGGTATTCCTTGATTTCTCTTGCAGGCACACTAGGCTTTGTCCTGATGGACACCTCCTTGCCCATCAACCCTGTGCAGGACATGGGTAGGGTGAGGGGGCAGGTTACCAGGCCAGGGAGAGACAGAAGGTCACACGGCGCAGGATGGATACCCGGAACAAGTCAGATAAGCCATATTTGATCTTGACTGAGTCGATGTCTTTCTGCAGGCTGAACTTCAGTTCCTTGGGACATAGGAGAAGGAGAGGTGCTGTTATTGGGCCTAGCTGGTGGAAGGGAAGGAGATTCAAGTCTAGTTGTTCCAGACGATGTATTGGGGAACAGAAGGAATACAAGTCAAGGAAACAGAGGCTGGAGAGGGCAGACACATGGTCCTGCCCCAACTATAATCCCTCCCCACCTACCTCTATGGTGATATTTTCCCCCTCCTCCTTCTTGCCATTGAAGGTAGCCACCCGTTGGAGTGTCTTCAGGGCCTTTGAGAACTTTCCAGATAGAACCAGCCAGCGAATGGACTCTGGTACCCACCTGGGGGCCAGAGTCAAAACACAGTGACGCCTGTTCTAGAGTCCCGTTTGAGATGTCTGCATCCAGGGCCATAGGGTAGGAGGCCAAGAAACATGAGGTGCCTAACACATTTTCTGGTAACTTCACATTGGTCCATCTTTGTACATGGGTTGCCTCTAGTTACGACAAATTCCAACATTCTGTACCCCATCTCCTTAAACAGCCTTCCAATGCTTCCAAACCTAGATTGCTGGTTGTTGTTGGATGTCTTCCTTAGCTAAGAGCCCCAGGGACTAGACTAAGGTAGGAGAAATGGGGAGGGGATGGCATACCTGAGGCTGGACAGCTGGGGGGACATTTACTTCTACTTCCCTGGCCTTCCTTGGCATGGATTCCTTCAGGGCCTTTGGAGGGTGGATTTGGTACCTGGCCTCAGACCCCTGATCCCAGCTCATGGACTTATAGCTTCTGTTTCTGCCTTGACAGTCCAGTGAGTCTGGTCTCACTGAGACTGTGAAGGAGTTTTTCTCATGCTCATGGCTGAGCCCAGGGCTCCGGCTTTGTCTCCCTGAGAATAATGACAGAAGTGGCTCCAGTCAAGAAGCCTACCTGTAGGTCAGCCTCACAAAACTTAGGGTAATCAGAAATATCATTCTCATCTTATCTAGAAAAATCTTGAGGCTTCTTAGGATGGGTGAGACCTGCCCCAAGTCACACTGAGCTCTCAGCTATACTCTGCTGTCTGCCCTTTTTGTCTCCCGACTCTGGCTGCTCCCAGGATGAGTACATGTTTCTGTTCCCACTCTCTGGTCTCATCCCCCCCCCCTCTCAGATTGCTATTCATTTCTGACAGTTCCATGTTCATTTCCAAGTTGAAGTTCCATCCATCTCAAGTCTGTACTTTTCCATGTAGCCTCCCCTGGGCCTCAATTTCCTCATCTTTGGGTAGGGACAATAATGCTCCCATCAAACAGAGATGCAACTAGGATCAGAGACAACATCAGTGTCCAGAATGGGCTATCCACAGCTTCACAATTTTTCCTTAGAATGTTTGTGACTTCTAGAACTTGGGCTTCAACAATGAGTTATGCAGGTTAATCTGCTGTCTCTCTGTGTGGATTTGGCTTCAACAGGTTGATAATAAGATCTCTGAACACCCTGCTTCTCCCATATAACCAACTCAATTCTCATAGGGTCCAAGGCTGAGGCTCCACTTTGGATATTCTTTTGTACTTTATATCTGAAAACCTTCCAATTCTGTGTAAACTCTCTTTAAAATGTCTTTCAGATTTCTCTCCCAGCATCCTCTAGCCTGCAGACCCCTTCTTTCTGTCCTCGGTCTCACCATGTGGGTCTGTATCTCTGGGCCATTTTATTTTCACAAACAGAACTTTGGATAGGCCTGGCAACCCCACAGAACCTTCTGCCCTTTTCTATCGTACTTCACATGAAGTTGAGGCCTCCCTGGATCTCTGTGCTCATGATGGACCAGGCCCCTCCTATCCATCTCAACTCATGCCCCTTCTTCAGCAGCAGGCATCTCCCAGTGTCCCAACACCTGCCCTTTCCTACAGCATGCCTCAGTACGTGTAACTCTTCTCCCCTGGAGGGCCTTCCTTGACTCTGGCACAAGGGAGCTGGGGACAGATGGTGCTGGATGTTAGGTATGGAGCCCTTATTTGTCCCTGGTGGAATTGGATAGAGAGGAGAACAGAAGAGGGCCACATACCAGGATAACAGGGAGAAGATGAAGAAGGGAACAGATGTTGTTAACTGTAGCCAGCGCCACTGAGGAATGGCATAGGCCAGGCCGGACAGAATGAACTGACCAAAGGTGTAGCAGTACCCAATTGATGTTGATGAGATGGCCCGCATCGAGGTGGGTACCCATTCCACATCTGTGAGAGGAGCCCAAGGACCAGATTAGGGTCTTATCAGGCCCCAGGCAGCTCCCTGTGAATTGGTACCAACTTCTGCCTCCCAGAAGCTACCTGACTTCATCTGATCTCAAGGATTCAATTAGCACCATTTTGCAGATATTGCACCTGAAACCCAAGGACATAGGACTCAAATTTGGGCCTCCCTCTTCCCCAGTTATATGTCTCTCCACTGGCAAGTGACTTCCCTTGCTTTGCACCTCAATTTCATCATCTGTACAACAGATGTAATATCACTCATTTCTATGTATCCCAGTGCATAGGATCACATGCCTAGCGGAGTGCCCCGACCCAAGGCAAGCCCTGTAGCTTCATAACTGCTGTCATTATGTTCGTGATTGTTGTGAAATTCAGAAGGGTCTTGAGAAACCAAAGGTAGGCCTCTGGATTGAATCTAACCCATTCTCTCAGCTTTGGCCAGTGCTCCCAAAGCCTTTCTGCTCAGGCCCCCACTGTGGCTCACTCAAGATAACGGTGCTCAGACTAATGCCTGAGATGCTGAAGCCACACAGGAATCGGAAGATCATATAGATGGAGAGGCTGGGGCTGAAGGCAGCACCTGAGCCGCTGGCTGCCAGAATTAGGTAGCTCCAGGTCAGGATGGGCTTGCGGCCAAACCTGCAACTCAGAAGAGAGGAAGGGCCAGGTTAGTCACTGTGTATCTGCCAAATTGAGTGACTTTGCAGGCTTTGGGGCAAAGGGCTGAAGACAACCCCCAATCCTCACTCAAGGACCGGGTGGAGCATATAACTCTCTTACCAGACAGAGCCTTGCTGTTAATTGCTGTTTTTCAGCAAGTTTGCAGTAGGAACATTGAGTTAATGAGTTATTTCTTCTGCATCAGCTTAGCTGACTGAGCAGAGGTCATGTATCTCTAAGCAATCCACCTGCCCTGGCTTTATACTATGTAACCACAATCACACTGTGTCTGAAAACCTCTGTTGAGAGGCCAGAAGATTCAAATGAGGACTCCTGGATAAGGGAATAGTATCTGCCCAGAAAGGACCATACTTCTTACCTCTCCCAGCTTTTGCTTCTTTGGGGTACACGGGCAGAACAGAGTTAGGAGGCGATGTACGTGGAATGTGCTCCCAAGCCTCACCTGTCTGACAGTTCTCCAAACACAGGCCCTCCAACCAGTATGCCTGCCATGAAGATCGACTGAGCCATCTCCTTCAGTTTGTTGGAGCTGCATACCAAGTCCCACTGCACAAGATCAAGATAGGGCCATGCCAGTTCAACACAGCCCAGTCCCCCCAGCCATGCTCAGCCTGCACCCGCCCCCACACACACTCATGCATGCACACACAGGCACTCACATGCCTTGGCTTCCCTGAGCTTCCCAAGCACCAATTCTTTCTGCCTATGGGGTTCCTTATGTCCTTGGCCCATGACTGTGTGATGACAACATTCCTCAAGTGTGTGTCACCTGTTGTATAGTTTACAAAGTCTGCTTAGCTGCTCCATTGACCTCTGTACTCTGTCGCTTCCACTGAAAGCCCATCTGTGTCCTGCAGCTCCCAGTCTTCCTTCTCCTTTCTCCCACATTCCAAGGCCAGGGCCTCCACCTGCATCCTTGACCTCACCTCTCCTTCTCTTAAGGTTTACTCTTTTGCTCCCTCCGTCTCTCCGTCCCTTCCTCCCCCCTTCCTCCCTTTCTTTCTCTCCTAACTCTTCTCCATCTGTTCCCATAAACTTCCCTTTCTACACCCCCTCCAGCTCTCTTGAATGAGAAACAACCATTGCTGTGACCCACCCTCTCCACTCATTTCTCAGCTCTGCTCTGGCTGACACACTGAAGCCATGCTCTCCAAAGCTAACCACAGCTTATTTGTTACCAGCACTACAGATCTTCTGCATCCTGACCTGGCTTAGCCCTTGGCAGTTTCCCTACACCTCTTGCTCCTCTCTCCTCCAGTCGCCCCCCCCCCCCCCCCCCCCCCCGCCATCCTCTGGTTTCTTTCTCCCTGCCTTGATCTTTTAGCTTCTCCAGGGCTCCCTCTGGGTCCTTCTCATCTACTTTCCCCAGACACTACCACCTGTTCCTAGGGTTGAGATTACTCTTTATGCCAAAAACCCCAAATCTATTTCTGCAGCCCAGCCTACCTTCTGGTCTTCGGACCCTGGGACTGTGGCCTACTTGAAAACACTACCTGGATGACATCCCATGGACATCCCAGACTTAACAGGACTTGTCCTTCCACTCTTTGTAAGATGCCCCCCCCCCCCAAATGGCAGCCCTGGCTTTTAAAAATACTTGCTTTTGAAATTTACATGACTTTGAATTGATGAATCTTAATTATATTACTCGTGTGGAGAACCCGGCCATGTTTTTGGTAAAAGGGCAAAGAACAAATCATGCTACGGAACCCTGTCCATCCCCTTCCTGCTTTATATTTCTTGTGGTGACACATTTAAAGTTTCTTCTTTTAGTTGTTTTGAAATTCAATCCATTATGAGGACTATAGTCACTGTGCTGTGCAACAGAACTCAAAGGTTATTCTTCCCATTCAGCTACAACGGTGTGTCTATCGATGGCTAGCTTTCCTGTGCTCATTCCACACCAATCTCCTCAATTTCTGGCCTCTGACAAATTCAATTCTATACTTCTAAGAACTCCACATGCACAAGAGCATGCTGGTGTCCTCCCTTTGGCCCCACCCTCTTTCTCCTGCCTTGTAGAGGACATGCTGTCCTTGTGCTTACAGATATGCACTAGGGAAACCAGGAATGTTAAACATGCAGGGCTGTCTCTTCAAAGACAGACATATGTAACCTGCTTTCCAGCCAGAAGGCAGGGAATGTATGTAATTAATAGCCTGCTGACCTGTGCTATCTGTAGGTCTAGGCCACACCTGATTCCTCCAGACTTTTATTTATTTAGTTTTTTGAGTCAGAGTTTCTCTGTGTCACTGGCTTTCTTGGAACTTGGTTTGTAGACCAGGCTGGCCTTGAACTCACTGAGATCCACGTGCCTCTGCCTCCCGAATGCTGGGATAACAGGTGTGTGCCATCACACCTGGCTTCCCTCAGACTCTCCTGCTTACTTCACTCATTCTCCCTAGACCAGTGGTGCTCAACCTTTGGGTTGCAACCCCTCGAGGTCAAATGACCCTTTCACAGGGGGTGCATATCGGATACACTGTACATCAGATATTTACATTATGATTCCTAACAGTAGCAAAATTACAGTTCTGAAGTAGCAATGAAATAATTTTATGGTTGGGGTCACCACACCATGAAGAACTATGTCAAAGGGTCACAACATTAAGAGGGCTGAGAACCACTGCCCTGCACCCTAACGCTGAGCATTACTTCTCAGTCAGGCTCTAGAACCCATTTTTACGAAAGAGATCACATGTATTTTACTAAGAGTTTCAGTGCAGTGATGCCTTAAGCTTTATTGTGCATACAGGATTGAGCTAATTGTCACCAGAAAACTTTTTCAAAATTGTGCTGTACTTCAATATGCCTAAAATAAACTGCCTGGGGTCAGACTCTAGAAATTTGAACCAACACAAACTACTGAGTAGTGTTGAAAGGGACTTCTTGCCTCAATTGGATCAAAACTCTGCTAGCCCTGGTGTTTACAGAGACCCCACTCCCACCTCATAGTCATTCACAATCATTTGATCTTCAAGTTTCAAATATATATATAATATATATATGCATGCATATATATATATATATGGAGAGAGAGAGAGAGAGAGAGAGAGAGAGAGAGAGAGAGAGAGAGAGAGAGAGAGGAGATCTCTTTACATAGTCCTGACTGTCCTGGAACTCATTATATAGACAAAAGCTGTCTTAGAACTCACAGAGATCTACCTGCCTCTGCCTACCTAGTGCTTGGGTTAAAAGTGTGTGCCACCACACCCAGCTTTGTTTTTGAAACTGTATTTTTTTCTGTGCTTTCAATTTGTTTCTTTTGTGTATCGAGTGTTTTGCCTGCCTATGTGTATGTGCACCCTGTGCATGCCTGGTGCCTCCAAAGGTCAGATGAAGAAGCTGGATCTTGTTGGGATGGAGTTATGGATGGATGGATGGTTGTGCTACCATGTGGATGCTGGAAACTAGGTCCTCTGCAAGAGCAACTGCTCCTAACTTCTGAGCCGGTCTTCTAGCCCCTCTATATTCATTGCAATTGCCTTAATATGGGCCTCACCATCTTGCCTTTTAATGCACAGTGACAGCTGATGTTTACTGAGGGCTCCCCGTACCAGACACTGTCCTAAGTTAAGCTTTTTTTATACTTTGCTTTCTTCAGCCCTCATTACATCTGTGTTATGTTCCCATTTTACAGGTGAGGAAACAGGCTCACAGTAGGTTGCTGTGGTGACAGGTGTATGAGAAGTCTTCCCCAGTGACTTAAATGGCTTTTAGGTTTCTATTTTGCTAAGAATATTCTGATTGCCTCTTGTTGGCTAGGTAAAGACACCCACTTCCCTGCTGAGAGGTTTATAAGGCTGCAGCAGCTACGCTTTGACCTGGCCAACCTGCCTGCTCTAATCTCCTGCTAATCCCAGCACACATTCTTTGCTCCAGACATCCTGAATTACTTGTGTAATGAAGTGAAGAATGTTCCCTGGAAATGCCTCTCAAGAGTGTTTCAGAAATAAAGTGTGGGGAGAGACCCACAGAGCCCAAGGAGTTTTTTCTGACCTTTCTCTTCTGGAAGTGAGACTCCAGATCTTTCAGCTAGCTTCAAGTGAGCCAACATGTCCACTAATCCTGGTAGACATTTCTAACAGTGAAGGGGCCCACATGGTATAGTGTGTCACCAAAGGAGGAAAGGGAGCACAGGAGGAGGTGAGGGCATAGGAAGAGAAGCATGATGGTGGTGTTAGAGAGACTTCTGGTACTTTGTGACATGCCAGCGTAGGTTGTTCAGGAAAATCTCAAGAAAAGACCTACTACTCACATAAATGAGCTCATCTCCTTCCCTTGAAGCAAAAAGCACGCTTCCTGTGTGATGCTGTAGCTATGGGGAGCCATGTGGTTCTTGATAAGGAAATGCTTGTGGCATTTCTACCTCATTGGCTTAAGAGGGCCTCCCTAGGAGCCTGGGCTTGCATGCTTTCTCCTTTCTTTTCCTTTTTTTTTTCTTTCTTTCTCCTTTCTTACGGATGGGAATAGTGATGACTACAGCAACCCCCAGAGCCAAGTACTGAAGATGGCAGAGATGCTGTCAGTCTGGGTCCTAGGATGGCCCTGCAGATCCAACCATCAGTCTGGAATGCTACTTTTTTTTTTTTTCAGAATTCTTAGAGAAGAAACACTTCTTTATTAGTAATAGTCAAGCCATGACTTACTGTTGAAGCCTTTGTTATAGCAACAAAAAGCTGCAGATGAAAACGGAGTTTGTATCATTCTCCACATCTGCATAAGAGGTTTGCATTCCAAATTCTATGAGGAAAACTGCCTCCTTTGTGAGATGTGTGTGTGTGGTGGGATAGGCAGTATCTAGCACACAACTCGGTCAGCGAGGAGAGAAACCTTCAAAACTGCAGCATGACATCCACTGGAGTAGTGCCACCATCCTTTAGTGATGTTTAGAAGCTCAGAACAAGCACTCTGTGGTTAAATATTAAAAAGAAGATAATTACACTGCAGGTGGATTTCATGAGCGATGAAGCTCATGTATCCCTGGCCACCCTGCCTAGCAACACAAACTGCGGGGTGCAGGTCTGAGACCCTCAGCCATTATGGTTTAGGAGTTAGTGTAGCAAGAAGAGTGGCTGGGAGGTCTCTCAGAGGGTAAGCAGACTGGATGACAGATGTCACCATGAGCCATTTAGGAGGCAGACACAATCAAATCTTGTTGTTTGTAGAGAATGCAGACTCAAGCAATATTTCACCCATGGCCCTGCCCATAAGCATGAGGGAACGAAACAGATTCTCTTCACCTGAAGGTCTTTTGGAGCCAGGTAAGACCTTAGGGAATGTTGTTGCTGGCCCTGTGAATTCTCATATCCCTGATGGAACCTATTTGGGGGGCATGAGGACCAAAGAGGACAAGCCAAGTATCTTGGGAAGCATCAAAAGGACACAAAACATGTGTATTTACTGTGTAAATTTTGTGTATTTTCTGACTGTGTGTGTGTGTGTGTGTGCACATGCATATTTGCATGGGTGTACATGTTTGTTTATTTATATGTGTGTGCCCACACATGTGAAAGCCAGAGGTGACTTCTCTAATTGCT